TTTTCAAAAATAAACGCTTTTTTCTTTCCTTTGGGAAAGTGAAAAGAAATTGTTAAATCCATCATGTATTTTTATATTCAACAGGAAAAATATAAGGCAATTTGCTAAGTGATTTGTTTAACCAATATTTTTTTTGTGAGTTTTTTTCAACTTTGTAGACCCTTTTTGTCAATAACTGTGATTTGTTCGTTTCATAGAGTAACCACTTACGAAATCTCAAAACAAACTCTTGGGTTAGCCATTTTTGTCTCAACCTAGATTTTTGGGAGAGCATTAGACTAATTTACTCTCAGTAAAAAAATAACTCTTTCTCTCTTAATTGCTTAGTTTTAACTCTTTTTTGGTTGCTAACAAATTTGGTATTAACAAAAAAATATTTCACCCCGCTTTTTTTTCATTAATCTTCTCGACCTAATTCTATTTAATTCTAGGTGTTTAGCAAGAAAATTTGTTTTGGTGAGAGTGCTTTCTTTTGCGAGCATCATTTCAAACTAATCATTATTTATTCTTTCTGGTCGCGGCTCAGAGCAAGCAAATTGTTAACAAAAGTAGTAGTAAATAATGGTCACAACTGCATTCCCGCGAGTCTATTGTCAAGAATTTCGGAATAACCGGTTGTGGCATTTTCGCACTTATTATTGCTCTACATCGCTATTTATGACTGGGATGAAATAACTAAAACCAACGAGGGCAAGTGATAAAAAAGATTTGGAAGCGAAGAAAAATATTCTATTGGGAATCAAAGACTCTCTTGCTTTGAATAATTCAAAAGAAGAATCAGAAAGTTTAATACAATACGAAAAGGAAGCAATTGTTATATTGTTATTTTGTAAAATGTTGCTTCGGTGGCGGTGCTTGTTCAGGTTAGGGAGAGAGTTAATTTTGTTTAGGAGAAATTTGGATTTGATAGGCTTGGTTTTCTTCTTTTAATTTTGCTATTTCATTAGTTAGTTTCTCAACTTGCGACAAGTGAGCAAATATTTTCTTTTCTATTTTCTTCTTTTTATTTATACTAATTAGTTGCTTAATCCTTGACCTACTCTTTAGATTTTTGCATTCTAAAAACAGGGACCGTAATCAGTAATTAATATCTCCTAACTCCTTTTCTTTTTTAGCTAATCTAACTGATTTTTGTTGCCTTAGTTCTTGTTCCGTTTGAGGA